CTGTCCGGCCCCCGGGGTTAAGGCGCACACCCCCGGCCCCGCCCCCGCCCTGGCTCCACCCCCTCTCCAGCCACGCCTCCTCGGGGCGTCCCCCGGGCCTGGCCCATGCGGTCTCTAGGGGCTAGCGCAGGCTGGGGTGACGGCTGCAGAGTTTTCGCTGTCCGCTGCAGCCCCTGAAGGGACCGACACTGGGCCCTCCTCGCGGCCCGAGCGTCTCCGGGCTTGACCTTGGATTAGACCCATTCTAGGAGCGTTGCGTTCGATCCTCTCCTACCCTAGTGTCTGGCAGGTCTCCTTGTGTGTTGACAGCCAGGGTTGGAGGGACACCCGAGACCCACGCTTCTGCCCAACCCAACCTTGCCTTTGGGGGCTTCTGGTTTACGAGTCTGGGGGTGACTCAGCATAGTAAACACAGGTTTCTGTACCAGCAGCGACATCAGAAAAGCAAAAAAAGAAAAACACTTTTTGAAGAATTGAACGTCTCGAAAAAGTACCAGTATAGTTATAAAGGGGAGATTTAGAATTTGGTTGGTCATATTTTGTAATTTAGTATTGCTTCTGTTTGTTAATGAGGGGCGGTGGTGATCACCGTAATCTTTGATGTTTAAGCCCACGATATTTCTTAATCCAGCCCTGCTTTCCACAGAAACAGCGCCTCCCTATCGTCTCGGTATTGATTATGGATGATACCAAGATGAGTGTGTAAATACATCCGTGTGTGTATCATAAAATGCACATGTGGAACTGGCCGATTAAACTAAGGATCCTCCTGGTAAAGACAAAAACCATCAGAAACCATCATTAACCTGTGGCGGGGGAGGGGAAGTGTTCGTCGGAGCCCACCATTGCGGGATGTGGGAGTCCATCGCCTGTGTGTCCCTCTCTGCTGAGCAATGAAGCTTGTGAAGCAGCTAAAAGGTGTATGCTCCTCTTTGCTAGGCTGAATCGCATGGGGGTGTATCATTTTTTAAAGCTCAGTAGTGCTTCTTATGTCTGTTGAGCGCTGGACAGTCTGAAAGGGCTTTTGCCTGTATACATTTATTGAATTATTAGGGCCTCCCTTACGGTAGGGTTTATTCTCATTTTACAGATGAGGAGACTGGGGTTGTGGCTAACTTCAGAAAGGGGAGAAGGGTGAGGATTGCTGCTCTTCTGCACCCTTGCCATGCTAGGGCTGCGGTGGAGCTGTGGGGTCCCCCTTCTTCGCAGGCGCCGGAAGTTAGGCACCGGAAGTCCGTGGGCTCCCTTTTTTCTCAGCAGCACGCTTGCGTCTAAACTCACCTCCGCTGACTTTCCTCTGTCCACCAATCCTGGGAAACCTGTTCTTAGGGCAGTGAAAACAGGCTTCCCCTGTTCACATAAACTTCTAGATCTTTTCTCTACTGCTGGACCTCAGCTTTTGAAACCCCAAAGCAGAATCCACTCCTTTGTTTTCTGGATTTCTCTAAGTCGCCTCTTCTTCCCTGAGGCTCTCAAAGTAGTATGAATGGCTAAACCTTGGGCACGGGGACAGTGCGGGTCACTATGCCAAGAAAGCCTCCATCGTCTAAGTGTCTTTACCCAGTGGGAAAGGAGATGACACCTCCACCCAACAAACAGAGTCCCCATGAGCATTTTAAAGGTCGCCCAGATAACTAGCCTGCCTCGAGGTTTTGAAGGGACAAGTAGGAGGCGATCGTAGCTTACCAAACAGAAGCATCATCAATGCGGAAAACAGAGTTGTCACCGTGGGCAGCCCAAAGTGATACAGACAATCAGAAGAGACCATCAAGATACATTCATGAACGTTCCATTATGGGCGCTGAAGCTGTTGCCTGTTGTAAACCCATGCCAGGTGTCTAAAGCATCCTCCAGCCTCTCATTTTAAACGTATCCTCCCTTGACTCCCCATTTCTCCCCCTCAGAATCAAATTTCGTGATCGGTTGTTCACAACTCATTTCTTTTAAACCCATTCCGAAACGGGTTTAATCAAGGTCATCAATGACCTTGTCCCTAAGTCATAAATCCAGTGGCGATTTTTTCAGCCAAGCCTCTTAGCAGAATTCGACCCTATTGGCTACTCCTGACACGTTTTCCACCTGTGTCTCCGTCTCCCTCACTGGCTTCTCTTCCATTGTCCTCCCCTTATGCCTCAGGACTCTGTCTCGGCCCCTCTAATCCCTCTGTGACTCTTCGCGGGTGAGCTCATCCACTTCCATGGCCTCTGTCTCCAGTGCCTCCTAAGTGTCTGTGGTGTTTGCTCAGTAACCACCAGACTTCTACATCCAACCTAAGTCTAAAGCCTCACCTTGGCGTCCACGGCCTTCGGAGCCTCCTCTTGCTTGTCATGCACTGCTGCTCTCCGTCCAGCTGCCCTGAACTGCCATCACGGCACCTGACTCACCAGGCTCTCCTTTGCACCCAGGACTTTCCACATGCGGGTCCCTCTTCCTGGAGCTCCCCTCTCCCCCCTTCACTGGGCTAATCTGTCAACTTTGTTCCCAGCTAAATGTCACCTCTTCCACGGATCCTGGGCCAGGTTAGCATGTGGCACTGCAGAACGGCCCTCAGAGGCGAGATTAAGGAAATAACAATGAGTATAAGTCTGAGTGCGGACACGGCTGCCTTGTTTGTTCTGTCGCCTCGGGACTTGCTTGGTTTCCGGCCCTTGGTAGGCCGTTTGTGAATAGTTGTTGAATAAATAAATAAGCGA